AGTTTTGGGAACAGGGTTCAACCAGATTAATATTTGGGTGGTTAGGAGATCCTAACGTTCCAGGTTAAGACATATGTTAGAAGAAAACAGTGACAAATCACTTCCACATTATAGGAAAGAAAATATAAATGTATCTGTGTATTTACCAGCAATAAAAACCTTTAGTTTCCAAACTTTAGTATCACCTATGTATATCTGCATACAATAAAGAAAGATACCTCTATGCATTTTCAATTTAATGTATACATTGCACCATGCCATGGTTAGATAGGGAATGAACTCTTTCTTGTTCTGTCCCTTCTCACCTTCTGTGTCTCTGTTTTTGTATTTATTGTAGCCTTTTATTTTTTAAAGACTAATTTTTTAAAAAAAATAACTAGAAAATTGTCTGAATGAGTTACATTATTTTTGTTTACGCATGCAAAGTTCGAACACTTGGTATACCTGCGAGGGAGCAAAACTGAGCACAACGATCAAATGTTGTGTGTGGCAGGAGAGAAAAAAAATACTGTTCTGTTTCTTTGTATTTTTTCTCATGTCAGTTTTGTCCTCCACGTCCTAATAGTGAGCTGAATTTTTATGAAACCGTAATTGATTTAATGGGTAGATTTTTGCCAGGAGGATTTCGCAGGAGAACAACAACAGATTAATACCGTTTTTCCCCCTTTATTTTTTCAACAGTATAGGGAAAGTTAAGATACCTGAGGAAATATTGGAAGCTGGGAAATTTTCATTAACCCTGCTTCCCTAGCATTTACTCTATATTAGATCTGATGCTGCTTTCTTTTATATAGTCTAAAATGAAACCCTTTACTGACACATAAGAAGTTTCAAAATAACAGAGTTGGAAGGTGCTTTGAAGGTCAACTGGTCCAACTCAATAGGAAATCCTATACCAGGGTTCTGTAACCTTAAACACTCAGAGCCATTTGGACCCATTTCCCACAGAAAAGAAAACACTGGAAACCAATAATTTAACAACCGGTGTGACTGGGTGGGCATGGCCAACTCAATGTCACTCACTTCCACCCAGTCACCTTCTGCTCTGAAACGTGGAGTGAGTCTACATCCCCCACCATCCCCCTTACCTTCTCAGGCCAGGCGAGGAGTGATGGGGAGGGGAGGGCCCAGCCAGTGGTGGGATCAGCCGACAGGAAGCCGCAGCGGAGGGCCGAAAGATCTGCATGTGGCTCTAGAGCCGCATGTGGCTCTAGAGCCGCAAGTTGCAGACCCCTGCCCTATACCATCCCAGATACATACCATGTTTTTCAGAGTTCAGGAATTTCAGGAAAAGATTTGCATCGGTATCCTGAAAAAGATACCTTTCTCTCAAAGAATCCTCTGAATCTGTTTGAGAGGGATGGAGCAGGCCTTGGCAGGCACAGAAGGTGGATGGGATTATGAGTAAAGGAATGCAAGGAAGACTGCCATTGAGTAAGTCACAGGTAGTCCTAGACTTACAACAGTTCATTTAGTGACCGAGGTTACAATGGAAAAAATGAAAAAATCGACTTATTGTTTTTTCACACTTATAACCATTGCAGCAACCCCATGATCACATGATCAAAATTCAGAGCCTTTGTCAGAGTGTTTGCAGCATGACTATTATTATGAAACAACCCAGGAGCAAAACAGCAGCGCACAGAGACTTAGACATTAAACAATGGTTTGTCCACAAGACAGTTATACACAAACATATACCTGGTAGCAAAATACCTTTACAAGAAATCTTTCTTCTACATGGAGATCTCTGCAATAAATACCAGACACAAGGAGAGAGAAACTACGTCCTCTAATGGCTACAATTTATAAACACCTCTTCAAAGGGTAGAACCCATCCCCAGCCTTAATGTGATGACCAGGGTGGGATACAAAATAAACACCTTCACGAAAACAGGTGATGCTCCTTTTATTCCTTCACTTTGCTTCAAAGTTACAAATATCCTTGGGACAAAAAACTCTCCCACAGAAAGGAGGAAATGTCGTTTAAACTATAAATACAGTTTAAATTATAAGGAGTGAAAACAACACAAACCACACTGAAGCAACTAAGGGAACCAGTCAAGGTAAGGGCTTGAGGGTCACAGATATCGGAACACACATTGGGAAGGATGCCAAACTCAGAGAGGAACGACAGACTAGAGATATTTCCATGCTTTGTTTCCAGCCTGGCCCATATGCATGTTCGTCCTTTTAACCAGTTCTCACAGCTGCAGCCCATGAAGAGGATCAAGGCCCTTTCCTCCCCCGTAGACCACACCATTCATGTCTCTCCCTTATTCTCTCCTTCCTGCGTTCCCTAGGATGGAGGGAGGATGGGCCTGGGTCTTCCTCTGACTGTCAGCCAGCCTCTGCCCTTCCTTAGCCTCCTCCCCAACCTCCGGAACCACACTTCCACTCCCTGTCAGCTGTTCCTCCTCTCCCTCAGAATCAGTCTCGAACAGGGGCATGGCACTTAAAGGGACACACCCATGCTATGCTGATTCACTCATATTGCATCAGCCATACTTACTGGCAGCTGTTACTGTTACTGGTCAGCTCTTAAATCTTAATACCTCAACACCCTTGGCCACCCTTGGCCTCATATTTGTGACAGTTCCTGTATCCCAGGTTCATGTGATGGTCTTTTTGTGACCTTCTGACAAGTAAAGTCAATGCGGAAGCCAGACTCAGTTAATAACCGTGTTACTAACTTTAACAACTGCAGTGATTCACTTAGCAACTATGACAAGAAAGATTACAAAATGGGTCAAAACTCACTTAACGAATGTTTTGCTTAGCAAGATAAATTTTGCGCTCAATTGTGGTTGTAAGTTGAGGACTACCTGTAACTGCTTTTTGGGACTCACAGACTTGAACCCAGGAGCATCTTTCTGAATTCCCATGTCCATGAGGCAGGTCTTAACTCTTCTGTAGTAAGGAGCACCAGGCAGCCAAGTTCAGGGTCTGCATTCTCAAAATTTGTCCTCTAAAAGGGAGAATAGAGTAGAGTAGAGTAGAGTGGAGTGGAGTGGAGTGGAGTAGAGTAGAGTAGAGTAGAGTAGAGTAGAGTAGAGTAGAGTAGAGTAGAGTAGAGTAGAGTAGAGTAGAGTAGAGTAACTTTATTGTCACTTTGAATGTACACTAATTGGCATATATCTAAATGAAATTTCATTGCATACAGCTCTCAAAGAATCACCACCTCCAATATACACTATATACACATGACAAAATAAATAAATAATTACAAAATTATGCATGTATCCACATATATTACATGACTAAGGTGTTATACTTTATGAACCTCCATGTTGCTTTTTCAGCAAAGAGATTCAAGAACTTGGATCACAACATTGCTACTCTGATGAATGGATGCCCTGCTGAGTTGAATACTTGATTGTATCCAACATATTGCTTTCATTATCTGAAAGATAGGGTGACCGGGTCCAAAAGAAGTCTAGCTTTCTGTATTTTTGACAGCTGTAGAGAATGGGAGCTCAGCTTCAGAAGATATTGCTTGTTTTGCAACACTGCTGAAATCCCCTTGTCTATTTACAACAGAGGGCTACTGAGATCTTGGAATTAATTTTTTCTCCAATACTGAAAAGAATGTGGGAATTTATCCCCCATTAGTCTCCATATAACTATTTTCTAAACAATTTCCTTTATTTCTTTTCTCAAAGGTTGCACAAAAGATGGGGAGACCTAATCCAATTTATTATTATTATTATTTTACTATTAAATAGTATTTTTCTTATATTATAGTTATTACTATTCAGCTTATCCTTTGGCAGAGTTTTGTTGGGTGCACCTTCACCTTTTTGATCCTTTTCAAGACATTAAAAAAAAAACACCAAAAACCCAGGCATCAAACAGAAAGGCATTTGGCTCAATAGAGGGTCTTAAACTCTCCTTCTGTTTTGCCTAATGTATGCAAAGACAGGAACTTCATTTTGTATGAAATGACTAAAGGTAGTAATCTTCTCACTGGTGCCCTGACTTGCTAAACATCATAAATCACAGCACTGGGTCCCTGTAAACAGCTGCTCATGTCAACCGCATAAACTAGGATGTCAGACGGTGACTGTTAGGATGTTAACACTATGTTTAGAGTTTATGCATATTCAGGAAACTTGCTCTGTTTGTAGTTTCCAGTGAATATCATTCATCTGTTCACTGATCATGCGAAGAAGATAGATAGACAGACAGACAGGATCTGGATCAGTAGAGAGGTTGTACACAATGGAATATCAACTAGACATTTCATCCATTTCATAGCTAAGCAGATCAGAATAGCAGCCATGGCTATGGTAGGCAGGCATTTCTATTGATGCAGAAACAAATTTTGCTACTTCTTTGAACAAGGGATGTCAACAGAGCAACTTACTTTGAGTACAATGAGATTTATGTCCAGTTTACTGAGTGTGAACGAAAAAGCTTGCTCTGCAGAATCATATTGACAGTTCCAAAAAGGAGTGAAGAAGGGCACAAAGGATCATTGGCTTTTGTGCTGGTTTTGTAGTGCTTTTCAGTGATAATTTTTCAGTAAATTGTTCCAAATATTGAAGCAAAGGAGATATAATTGCCGTACACATCACTGGATGCCGGGGCTGGTTGACTCGAGTAGCATACTCCCCTCAATTTACCACATTAGCTGTCTTCTAACTGCAAAATGCTAACACTTGAGGGCATCTAAATGAATGTTTATCTCCTTTTTTTCTGCAAATATTAAGTAGAGAGGAAACTTCCCTCTCTCCCTCCCTGCAAATCAACTCCTTTTGATTTCAAATGCGTGAAGATTTGACTTGTAAATAGTCTCCCAAAAGCTATTTCCCCAAATCCTTTACATATTTTAATTAAGTTTTAAATTAGCCTGTGATAATGTACCTGACTTCACAAAATTTAAAAGCAATCCTCCCCTCTTTCCCCTTTGATTTAGATTTTCCCTCCTTCATCAATTGTTGCTCCTGCTGGGGAAACATTATAAAAATAGATATTCAAATAGGTTTTCTTTCTTTCAGTTTGTCCTGAAAATGGTAGCTTGTCAGCTTTAGAAGATGTACAAAAACGAGGACTCTTCTTCTGGTGTCCTCCAGATATGTTTAGAATGCAACCTTTTTTCTACCTTAGCTGAGAAGAAGCTGCAATCATGACATCTGGTGGGTACCAGGATGAGGGAAATGAACATATTAAGGATGCCATTTGTTACTAACCTGCTATAGTTTCTGGAAATTGTGGACCATAAGCTAGGGACGGGCAGCTTTGTGAAGACCAGGGAGGGTCTTCACAAAGCTGGGAGGATATGGGGGTGAGGAAGGAACGGAGAGTATCTCTATTGATGAGGTGATAGTGAAAAATAATGAAGCAAGGGTTTTTTTCATATGTACATATTTTCTGGATGTTCTGGAAGGCATGCTTTTCTTTCTGAACTATGTTAAGCCAATTTCAGGTCTTAGAAAACAGCCTTTGTGTATTTTCCACTACAAGTGATGGAAACAAGGCCACTAGTCTCTGGGATTTATGGTCACAAGCTGCCCTGCATTTGCAGATGTCAGACTCTTCTGGGTCTTTTCCACTCCTTTGACATAATCTTGAATCTGAAGCCTGCTGTGAACTGTTGGTTAAATGCAAGTTTAGCTATGAACTTCTGGTGCTGATTTAGAATGATTGATTCAGAAATGGCAGCTACTCATTACGAAAGCAGAAAACACCTCTTTCCCACGTCTTGCCTTGCAAACAGAGTGGGAGAAACTATTGCTTAATTGGGCATTAGTTTTTCATTCTGCTTGAGCTCTAATAGGCATCCTTCCAAATTTGGAGTAACTTTAAATAATCCAGTCGGTGATTGGATTCAACAGTCTTGGTGGCAGAAAATTAATCATCTGGCAAGAGGTTTATGAAGTAGTTAATATGCAGCATAAGGGCAGTGCTGAACCTTTTCAGGATTTTCCTCCACTGTTAGACCCCACCAAAAGGGATGAGGATTAGAAAGAAGCTAGTTGGGGCATGAGTGGGGAGAGAATCCCAAGGGTGACTTCCTGAGGGATGTTCACCAAAATAATCTTAAAGCCAGATTGATTTAATGATGTATTGCACGAAAGTGCTAAAAGCGAAAGGATTCCTGAAGCTGTTTCACATACAGCCTGATGAAATGTTCATGAGAACATCGAAGTGTTCCTCGTCACAGAGCAGAAGCCATCACTTAGCAGAGTGAATTGCAGCACCTTCAAACTGGGTAGAGTGAAGATGAATGCAACTCTCACTGGGGAACCCTGCATAGATTTACACTGTTGCCTTTACATTACTGTACCATCACAAAGGTCCAGCAGAGCAATTCAACCCATATTCAGAAAAACATCCTATCTAGCTTAATGGGTCTATATATCAACTTAAGCAACCTGCTTGAAACACTGATATCCATATTCTTTCCACCTACCTCCTTATCTTGTACGGAAGACCAAATATTTTGTGAATATTGATAGCCACATATTGAGGGAAAGGGGAAAAAATGTTCCAAGACAGTTGGGATGAAAAGGAACTGAGTAGTTTTCTTCCAAATATACTCGGGACATACACTGAAAACATCTCACTTCAACCAATCCACTAAGAACACAATCATTTCCCAGCAAATGTTGATAAATTATCTATCGCAATTAGGGGATTACCAACATTGCTACCTATTTTATTTTATTTTTTTTGTACATAGAGTAAACTGTTCCAGCCCACTCTATTTTTGTCTGTGAATAGCCTGGGAATTATGGAAATGGAAGGGAGCACAGTGATCAAAGAGACAGATGATGGAAGCCATAAGCAGAAATGAATGCCAGATACAAGCATATCTTTGCCAGGCATCCTCAATGTGGCACTCGACTGAAGTGTATTCTTCCTGCATTCTCAACAGTGGACATGCTGGAAGTTATGAAGTGGATGTCTAGATACCTGAAGAAGGGTGCCTGGTTGGTGAAAGCTTGCCATTAACTTGTAGCTCACCTAACAATTACAAAGCTTTGTTCTTTCACCTTGGCAGCAGGCAAGCAGTTACAAAGAAAAGAAAGCAAACATTAACGGCAGCAAGAAACCAGAATGGAACAACTTACCGCGGGACAACTCTCTTTGTGGCCAACTCACCATGGGAGAACTCACCACAGAACAATTCAACAATTCAATTTAATTATTTGAAATAATTAAACCTTTTAATTTTTGTCATTCACCTTTCGTTTTATCCCTTCTTTTGCATCCTTTCTTTAATGATTTTATTCCACCATTTCTTTGATGTTAGTGTAGCTCTTTTCCTGCGGCAAGTTTGTCCCATGGTGAGTTGGTCGTGGTGAGTTATCTAGCAGCAAATTGGCCATGGCAAGATGGCCACCGTGAATTTTTTTAGACCTGCAAGAAAGTCGTCTTCACTGGAGGAACATTGGTGGCAGGATTGTCTGCAGAGTGTGGTCAAAGATGGAAACCACAATGCTGCAATCAAAGTTCCAACATTTTTTTTTTCCCAATGTGGATCACTCATGTGATGCACATAAAAACAGTCCAAACTTCAATCACATCATCATGGCTGCCATCTTGCCATTTTTAATTGTGTCCCACAGACAGAAGTGCCTACAAAGGTGCACCTTCTGCCTCCCCAAAAGACTATTACAAAAAAAAACCTCCATTCAGACTTATCACGCAAGGAAATGCTGACACTCTTCCTGCAGAAATAATAGCAGTTCAGATCCAACTTGCCCAGAAGTGCAGAGCGGGAAGAGGAAACTTAGGACAGATGGATTGATTTGTATCCATGGGTGCATTATGTTTTGATCTGTTTTTACCTGCCTTGAGGGTTGTTTTGCCTGAAAAGCTCCAAGTAAATGTCAGTATTAGACAAATTTGGATATTCATGGATAGTTAAGGTTTCCCATGTGCTAAGTGTGCATGCCAGGTGAAATTTCCAGAGGGTGATGAATAACAATGCAAGATGAATCCTGGTATGTTTCCATGGAACACACACACGTATGAGCAGACAGTTTCTCCTAGTAGACAGACAATTGAATACTGACAATTATACTTAAGGGACCTGCAACTCCTGAGCTTTTACATGTTCTCTGGACTTGCCAACCTTTGCAAATGAATGTCAATGCCCTGTTTTTTTGTTTTTTTTTAAATGCACATGGCACCCTCTCAAAGGCATGTGCACTTAATGCAGTTGCATCAAGGATCCCATCTTGCTTAGAAAGCCATTTGCTAATCCACAGTATCCACTTGAGAAGCTTATTAGAATTGATTTGGCTATTGACATTTGCGCAAGTGTTCTATTCCTGGCAAGCTTTGATAATACATTACACTAAACCAGGGACGAGACCAGGAATGTAGCTGGCGAGAATCTATTCTATCCTGTCCTGATCATCCTGATGATGAGAAATGTCTCTGCATTCTGAGGTCATCTCTGCAATAGAGAGATTTAAGTTCAAGAGCAGAAATCATACAGTCTGCTTTAAAAAGGCAGCGGTGTTTCCATTTCAGTAATATCTGAAGAGGGATCGACTCCTCTGTATTAAGCTGCAGGAAAATTTGGCTTTGAATGAAGTTGCCTTTTCCAAATATTTGTAATGGGAAATGTTTCATGAGACCAGAGAATGCCAGATCTGTACTAAATCTGTTCTCTTCGCCTTTGCATAAAATGTTTACTCATAACTGGCTAATGTTTTTGCATATTGAAAATGATGATCGGAGGCAGGAAGCAGGTAGGGACTTTAAAATTTTCTAAGGATAAACACCTCCTTCATCATATGGACTCCCTGTGATTCCCATTAGTTCCTTCCAAGTTTTTTTTTTAACAATTTCCTGGTTGTCTCTCATCCAAATGCTAACTAGGTTTAACTTCCAACGCCAGGAAGAATCAACCCAGTGCTATCACCTGCTGCTAACCCAACTCTGCCAACCTCTCTCTAGTAGTTATTTGATAATATATGTTATCAATTAAGTCCTTATAGTTAATTAATAACTTCCAACTTATGTGTAATATTGTATATATGTGATACATCCAAAGGAAATGAATAAGTGTTTAAATCTTGTTGCGTTAGAACCGCCACTGAAAAAGAGCTGTACATTGGGCCTGAAAAAGTCTCCACATATGTTTTTGCTATTGAATGTGTTTTCATTTTGCAAATAAGGATTTTAATTATTTATAAACTGGCTTCTGATGAAAGTCAATGCTTGGGCTAAAATATAGAAAACATTGCCAGAAAACCATATCTCTCCTGTTTCTCTCTCTCTCTGATTTCAAGGAATCCCGCCCTCCCAGAAACAACATATAACACACAGAGAGATACAAGCTCAGTTCTCAAACAAAGCATTAAACCTTGTCCACATGGAATAATATTGATCATGCTTTCCATTATGTCTATACAGAGCCAGTTCGTAAGCACAAAATAACCATCTGTCATCAGTCCAAGACTGTCTATCCAGAGTAGCACAATCTTTCTATCATAATAAAGTAATATTTCCTTCACCGTGCGGAGAACTTCTTCATATATTGATGAATTTCAACTTTTTAACATATAATTTAAAGCAGTATTCACATCTTTAAACCATATCATTCTTTCCAAACCATTTGAAAATGTTATGAATATTAAAGGCAAAATGAGGCATTAATGGTACAAGTTCATACTATAAGTGTGCCATCTATCATTTGGCGCTTCCAGTACAATTTACAGACAAGCCTGTTATTTGAGATGTCCAATAGTCATGAACAATAAAAATAAACTTAATATACTTTAAGACTCTTAACCATTTATTTATCAATGTAGGTATTTCATTCTTTTATTTGAAATTTCTTGAAATAGATCCGTTATCATTATCATCATTTTTAGCCATTGTCTATCCACTGCAGGATGAGGCCACGCACATATGTATGTGTGTAACTGTGTGCCCAGGTGCCTGTCTGTGTGTGTGATTTTGAACATGAATAAATGTAACATGAGCAAATATAAAAGACAATTTTTTTATAAAAAAAAAGACAAAATAGATAAAAGATAAAAGAAAGAGTTCAGGAAAGAAAAAGAAAAAGAAAGGCTACTTCTCTCATCATTCTATAGTTTATGCTCGTTAATGACAGTCCCTTGACTTTTTGCTTAGACAACATCCTACCCCCCACCCACCCCAGTCATTTCCT